GACCACCCTATGACACCTCCATCCCTCGCACTCGCCCCTGTACCCCGCCCCCTACCTGCCATCATTCTTATAGGAATCTTTATTTAGTCTGGAGGAGGAATCCGATGAGCTAATAATCTCTTTGTTCACAGATGTCCAAGTATGGGGCGGGTCACCAAGTTACAATAACAAACGATACCCAAAAAAAAAAATGATAGTGAAAAAATAGAGGAAAAAAAGTAATCAAGCCACTAAATCTAAATAAGTACGATTATTACATAAGTTCGATTGATCAAAGTTGGGCAAGGCGGAAAAAAAACCAGTCCCAGACCACACCAAGATAACACGACACAGTCGTCCTTTAATAAAAAATTGACATTGAACTATCGATAGAAAGGTAAGGATCAAAGTTACCAATCTTCTGCTATTCACCTCTTCCCATTACCGCAATGGCACAGACTCCGTAGGTGTGGTCAAGTGTCTGAGCACCACATACCTACCCGCATAACACCCCCAATACCATGACCCACACATCATCAACACGTACCACACCCCCCATCATCATACCCCATCATAACACAGCTCTCCCAAGTCACACCAGAACTCACATCACACACCACACCACAAACCCACACCCACCCACCATCACAACACATCCTCCTCGATTATAACACCCATCACACCTCTCGCATGCCTCCAACATAACATCCCCCACACTTATTTTTCCCCATACACCATCTCTTCCCACACCCCCTCCCCGTATCCAAGTCCATCCCCTTCATCATAACATCACCCTCCCCTCCCCACATCCTAAACTCTTCCCGTGCCATGCACACACACACACACCACACACACCCACCCTGTGTGGTGTCGTAATACGCCTCCAGAAACACCGCCTCGCAACCCTCCATCATAACACTCCGTCGTGATGCCTCCCACTCTCCCTCTGTAACATCCCCTCCACAAATCCCCAATCATCATAACACTACCCCACCCCCAACACTTCCAGTAGAACACACCCCTACATCATAACACTACCCCACCCCCAACACATCCAGTAGAACACACCCGTACATCATAACACTACCCCACCCCCAACACATCCAGTAGAGCACACCCCTACATCATAACACTACCCAACCCCCAACACATCCAGTAGAGCACACCCCTACATCATAACACTACCCCACCCCCAACACTTCCAGTAGAGCACACCCCTACATCATAACACTACCCCACCCCCAACACATCCAGTAGAACACACCCCTACATCATAACACTACCCAACCCCCAACACATCCAGTAGAACACACCCCTACATCATAACACTACCCCACCCCCAACACATCCAGTAGAGCACACCCCTACATCATAACACTACCCCACCCCCAACACATCCAGTAGAACACACCCCTACATCATAACACTACCCCACCCCCAACACTTCCAGTAGAGCACACCCCTACATCATAACACTACCCCACCCCCAACACATCCAGTAGAACACACCCCTACATCATAACACTACCCCACCCCCAACACATCCAGTAGAGCACACCCCTACATCATAACACTACCCCACCCCCTACACATCCAGTAGAGCACACCCCTACATCATAACACTACCCCACCCCCAACACATCCAGTAGAGCACACCCCTACATCATAACACTACCCCACCCCCAACACTTCCAGTAGAGCACACCCCTACATCATAACACTACCCCACCCCCAACACATCCAGTAGAGCACACCCCTACATCATAACACTACCCCACCCCCAACACATCCAGTAGAACACACCCCTACATCATAACACTACCCCACCCCCAACACTTCCAGTAGAGCACACCCCTACATCATACCACTACCCCACCCCCAACACATCCAGTAGAACACACCCCTACATCATAACACTACCCCACCCCCAACACATCCAGTAGAGCACACCCCTACATCATAACACTACCCCACCCCCAACACATCCAGTAGAACACACCCCCTACATACACCCTACACACACACCCTACACACACACACCCTACACACACATCCTACACACACCCTACACACACCCTACACACACCCTACACACACACCCTACACACACACACCCTACACACACATCCTACACACACCCTACACACACCCTACACACACCCTACACACACGCCCTACACCATCACACACCCTACACACACCCTACACACACACCCTACACACACCCTACACCATCATCACCCTCCACCATCATCACCCACCACCATCACCCTCCCTGCACACACCCTACACACACCCTACACACACCCTACACACACCCTACACACACACCCTACACACACCCTACACCATCACACACCCTACACACACCCTACACACCCCCTACACACACCCTACACACACACCCTACACACACACCCTACACACACACCCTACACACACACCCTACACACACACCCTACACACACACCCTACACACACACCCTACACCATCACACACCCTACACACACACCCTACACACACCCTACACCATCATCACCCTCCACCATCATCACCCACCACCATCACCCTCCCTGCACACACCCTACACACACCCTACACACACCCTACACACACCCTACACCATCACACACCCTACACACACCCTACACACACCCTACACACACCCTACACACACACCCTACACACACACACCCTACACACACACCCTACACACACACCCTACACACACACCCTACACACACACACCCTACACACACCTTACACACACACCCTACACACACCCTACACACACACCCTACACACACACCCTACACACCCTACACACACCCTACACACACATCCTACACACACACCCCCTACACACACCCTACACACACACCCTACACACACACCCCCACCACCATCACCCTACACACACACCCTACACACCCCCTCCACCACCACCCTCCCTGCACCCCCCCCCACTCTTCCTCCAGCCCCGCCCCCCGCATACCGGGTCTCTTCCCGCCATGGCTCTGTTGCCCGTGACGTCACTCTATTTCATGAATGAAACCTCGTGACCAAACATCATATGACGCGTGACTTAACACAGCAGCAGCAGCAGGAACAGCACAAGCAGCAGCAGCAGGAACAGCACAAGCAGCAGCAGCAGGAACAGCAACAGCAGCAGCAGGAGCAGCAGGAGGAGGAGCAGCAACAGCAGGAACAAGAGGAGGAGGAACGGCAGCAACAGGAGAAACAGGAGGAGGAGCAGGAGGAGGAGCAGCAGCAGGAGGAGGAGGAGAAACAGCAACAGGAGGAACAGCAGCAACAACAACAGCAGCAGCAGGAGGAGGAATACCGGCAACACACGGGGGGAGGGGAACCTGCGTCCACAGTCGAGGAAACATCAACAGCAGCAGCAGGGATATCAGCAGCAGCTGCACATCAACAGCAACAACAACAGGGATATCAGCAGCAGCTGCAGCAGGAATATCAGCAGCAGCTGCACATCAACAGCAACAACAACAGGGATATCAGCAGCAGCTGCAGCAGGGATATCAGCAGCAGCTGCACACGAACAGCAGCAGCAGCAGGGATATCAGCGGCAGCGAAACCAAGAGCACAACTAGCAAGGGCACACGAGCAGCAAGCAGCAGCAGGAATAGCAACAGTGGCTGTAGCAGCAGCAGGAGAGACAGTGGTTGTAGCAGCAGCAGCAGCAGGAAGAGCAACAGTGGCTGTAGCAGCAGCAGGAGAGACAGTGGCTGCAGCAGCAACAGGAAGAGCAACAGTGGCTGTAGCAGCAGCAGGAGAGACAGTGGCTGCAGCAGCAACAGGAAGAGCAACAGTGGCTGTAGCAGCAGCAGGAGAGACAGTGGCTGCAGCAGCAACAGGAAGAGCAACAGTGGCTGTAGCAGCAGCAGGAGAGACAGTGGCTGCAGCAGCAACAGGAAGAGCAACAGTGGCTGTAGCAGCAGCAGGAGAGACAGTGGCTGCAGCAGCAACAGGAAGAGCAACAGTGGCTGTAGCAGCAGCAGGAAGAGCAACAGTGGCTGTAGCAGCAGCAGGAGAGACAGTGGCTGCAGCAGCAACAGGAAGAGCAACAGTGGCTGTAGCAGCAGCAGGAAGAGCAACAGTGGCTGTAGCAGCAGCAAGAGCAGCAGCAGGAAAGACAGTGGCAGCAGCTGTAGCAGCAGCAGGAGCAGGAAGAGCAACAGTGGCAGCAGCAGCAGCAACAGGAGACAACATCATCAGCAGGGTCGGCAACAGCATCAGCTGCTGCATCGCCAGCCCCCTCGTCTGCTGAGGAGGGGGGGGGGGCAGCGTCACATCATCAACATCATCGTCGTCGTCGTCACTGTCATCAGCATCACAATCATCATCAGCATCGTTATCAGCATAATTTAAGATCCTCGTCATCAAAAAGCATTTCGGACATTTGATGACTGCTTGTGTCGTATCGTCGGCATCACCATCATCATCATCACTACCATCATCACCATCATCATCACCATCTTTATCACCACCACCATCATTTCCATTGACATCGCCGGATATCACTGACACCACCACTGCTAACCACCACCACCATCATCATCACCATTATCACCACGAACATCACCAGCTACCATTGACATCATCATCACCACCATCAACAGTCGTTATCATTCCGCTGCTGCCGTTATTGTATCGGATCATCGCCATCATCATCATCATCGCCATCGCCACCATCAACAGCAACATCATCAACATGACGGGCGTCTCTGCCCGAATTCGCTGACGGAAGAGGAGGGAGTTTGGGGGAGGAGGAGGAGGAGAGAGAGAGGGAGGAGGAGGAAGAGAGGAGACACGGGGAGAGAGACGGGACAGGATTATCGGGGAGAGACACAAGAGGAGGGAGAGACACGAGGAGAGACACAAGAGGAAGACGGGGGGGAGAGACAAGAGAGAGGAGGGGAGACACGTGGAGAGAGACACGGGGAGAGAGACACGTGGAGAGAGACACGGGGAGAGAGACACGTGGAGAGAGACACGGGAGAGAGACACGTGGAGAGAGACACGTGGAGAGAGACACGGGGAGAGAGACACGGGGAGAGAGACACGTGGAGAGAGACACGTGGAGAGAGACACGGGAAGACGAGGAGGAGGAGGAGACGGGAGGGGACAAGGGTGAGTTTGGAGTGTTTCTCTTGAGCGAGCTGCTGAGTGTGTAAACAAGTGTGATGTGTGTGTGTGTAAACAAGTGTGTGTGATGTGTGTGTGTGTGTAAACAAGTGTGTGTGTGATGTGGCTTGTGTGTAAACAAGTGTGTGATGTGTGTAAACAAGTGTGTGTGTGATGTGGCTTGTGTGTAAACAAGTGTGTGATGTGTGTAAACAAGTGTGTGATGTGTGTAAACAAGTGTGTGTGTGATGTGTGTAAACAAGTGTGTGATGTGGCTTGTGTGTAAACAAGTGTGTGATGTGTGTAAACGTGTGTGTGTGTGATGTGTGTAAACAAGTGTGTGATGTGTGTAAACAAGTGTGTGATGTGGCTTGTGTGTAACCACGTACGTGTGTGTAAAAAAACGTGTGTGTGTGTGTAAATACGTTACAGTATAAACGTGTGTGCGTGTTAACAAGTGTGTATAAACACATTACTACGGTGTGAGTGTAAACCAGTGTGTGTGTACAAGTCTCTGTGTATTCGTGTGTAAATACTAAATCCATCGCCACAGTACTCGTCTTTAGTGTGTGCAGTGTGCGAGTGTGTAAATGAAAGTGTGTGTTTGTACTGGACCTGTTAAATATATGTTAAATATACACACGTGTGTTGTTAGCGGTGAGTGTGTAAACACCACTCTACAGATGTGTTACATAAAGAGACGGGAGTGTGAGTACATTGGTGTGTTGAATGTGTTTGCAGTAAATTACTTGTGTGGGTTGGTGTGTACACAAATGTACGCGTGTGTGTGTCAACAAGTGTGGCAAAAACAAAGCACGTAAGTCAACAAGTGTTAAGTGTACAATGTTCCGTGTATATAGTAGTGCGTGTGTATACAAACTAGTGTGTGTTTAACGTACACACACGTGTGTGTTTAACGTACACACACACGTGTGTAAACAAATGTGTGTATACGTGTGAGTGTGTTGGTGTGCTGTAGTGTAAGAGTTAGTCAACATGTGTTGGTGTGTAATAGCGTTGTTATTCTCTGTGTATTCTGCGAGTTTCCAAATAAATGTATTGAGTTTATTGCCAGTGTGTGAGTGTGTAAACACGTGTTAGTGTGTAAACCACGTGTGTGAGTGTGTAAACAATATGTGTGTGTAAACCACGTGTGTGTGTAAACCACGTGTGTGTGTGTAAACACGTGTGTGTGAGTGTGTGAGTATTGAGCCCACGTGTTCGTGTGTAATAGAATTGCGTGAGTTTTCGGTGTGTTATGTGTGTGTAAACAAATATTGTGTGTGTATGTAAACAAGTGTGTGAGTTCACGTGTTCGTGTGTAAACACACGTGTAATAGTATTATGCAAGTTTCCAGGATATATACTTTGTGTAAACAAGTTTGTGTGTAAGTGTGTAAACAAGTGTATCTGTATGTGTGTGTGTAAACAAGTGTGAGTGTTGAGTTCACGTGTTCGTGTGTAAACACGTGGGTATTATTAGTATTGTGTGGGTTTCCGGTGTATTCTGTGCGTGTGTTAACAAGTGTGTCTGTAAACAAGTGTGTCTGTGTGTGTAAGCAAGTGTGTGTCTGTGTGTTTAAACAAGTGTGTGAGTCTGTAAACAAGTGTGTGTGTAAACAAGTAAGTGTGTCTGTAAACAAGTGTGTCTGTGTGTGTAAACAAGTGTGTGTGTTAACAAGTGTGTCTGTAAACAAGTGTGTCTGTGTGTGTAAGCAAGTGTGTGTCTGTGTGTTTAAACAAGTGTGTGAGTCTGTAAACAAGTGTGTGTGTAAACAAGTAAGTGTGTCTGTAAACAAGTGTGTCTGTGTGTGTAAACAAGTGTGTGTGTTAACAAGTGTGTCTGTAAACAAGTGTGTCTGTGTGTGTGTGTGTGTTGGGTGGTTATTAGCCCGAGTGTGCCCCAAACATCGAATGTAAATAAGGAAAATGTGTGGTAAACCTTACAGGTGAACAGGTGTGTAAACCTCAGGTTTGGTTAAAAGTAAATTAGCCTTACCAATGCCGAGTAGACACGTGTGTGGAGTGTGTAGTGGGTTTATTTCTGCTGAGTGTGTGCGTCTGTTTCTGCTGAGTGTGTACATTTGTGAGCGTGTCAGGCAGCTTATTGTTAACTCTGTGTGTGTGGTGGTGATTGTACACGTGTGTGTGGTGAGTGTTAGTGTACACGTGTGTGTGTGGTATTGTGATGATGATTGTTAGTGTATACGTGTGTGTGTGTGGTGTTGTGATGGTGATTGTTAGTGTACACGTGTGTGTGTGTGGTGGTGATTGTACACGTATGTGTGGTGAGTGTTAGTATACACGTGTGTGTGGTGGTGAGTGTTAGTGTACACGTGTGTGTGTGTTGTGGTGGTGAGTGTTAGTGTACACGTGTGTGTGTGGTGTTGTGATGGTGATTGTTAGTGTACACGTGTGTGTGTGTGGTGAGTGTTAGTGTACACGTGTGTGTGTGGTGTTGACTGTTAGTGTACACGTGTGTGTGTATGGTGAGTGTTAGTGTACACGTGTGTGTGGTTTTGTGGTGGTGAGTGTTAGTGTACACGTGTGTGTGTGTGGTGGTGAGTGTTAGTGTACACGTGTGTGTGGTGTTGTGGTGGTGAGTGTTAGTGTACACGTGTGTGTGTGGTGGTGAGTGTTAGTGTACACGTGTGTGTGTGGTGAGTGTTAGTATACACGTGTGTGTGGTGGTGAGTGTTAGTGTACACGTGTGTGTGTGTGTGTTGAGTGTGTTTGCCTGTAAGACTGTATTACATGAGTCTACACCGGCGTGGGGGTTGTTGTTGTTGTTGCTTGCTAAGCGTTGTTTCTCTTGGGTGTGATTCCGACTGTTCGAGATTTCTCGACGATTGTGCCGACACAGACATGTGGCCTGTAATGAGGCTGTTGGGACAAGTGCTGATGGTGGGCAACACGTGTGTGGGGGTGTTCATGTGTAGTGTAATGTTAGGGGGTGTTCATGTGTGGTGTAGTGTTAGGGTGTGTTCATGTGTGGTGTAGTGTTAGGGTGTGTTCACGTGTATAGGGTGTTCATGTGTAGTGTAGTGTTAGGGGGTGTTCATGTGTGGTGTTAGGGTGTGCTCACGTGTATGGGGTGTGTTCACGTGTATGGGGTGTTCATGTGTGGTGTAGTGTTAGGGGGTGTTCATGTGTGGTGTTAGGGTGTGTTCACGTGTATGGGGTGTTCATGTGTGGTGTAGTGTCAGGGTGTGCTCACGTGTATGGGGTGTTCATGTGTGGTGTAGTGTTAGGGTGTGTTCATGTGTGGTGTAGTGTTAGGGTGTGTTCACGTGTATGGGGTGTTCATGTGTGGTGTAGTGTTAGGGGGTGTTCATGTGTGGTGTTAGGGTGTGCTCACGTGTATGGGGTGTTCATGTGTGGTGTAGTGTTAGGGTGTGCTCACGTGTATGGGGTGTTCATGTGTGGTGTAGTGTCAGGGTGTGCTCACGTGTATAGGGTGTTCATGTGTGGTGTAGTGTCAGGGTGTGCTACGTGTATGGGGTGTATGTGTGGGTAGTGTCAGGGTGTGCTCACGTGTATGGGGTGTTCATGTGTGGTGTAGTGTCAGGGTGTGCTCACGTGTATGGGGTGTTCATGTGTGGTGTAGTGTCAGGGTGTGCTCACGTGTATAGGGTGTGTTCACGTGTATGGGGTGTTCATGTGTGGTGTAGTGTCAGGGTGTGCTCACGTGTATAGGGTGTTCATGTGTGGTGTAGTGTCAGGGTGTGCTCACGTGTATGGGGTGTTCATGTGTGGTGTAGTGTCAGGGTGTGTTCACGTGTATGGGGTGTTCACGTGTATGGGGTGTTCACGTCAAGGTGTGTGTGGGTAAGGTGTGTTGCGATGTTGTGACGATGTCTGTGAGTGCAAAGATGTTGTTGAACGGTATCGTACATTAGTGTAAAAGTGTTGTGATGAATGAGGTGTGTAAAAATGCGGCAATAAAGGCGTTACAATACAGGCAGTCCCCGACTTACGACGGAGATGCGTTACGACGACTTCATCGTAAGTCGAAAATGCCGTAAGTCGAAGATGGCCTAGCCAGGAGTCTTAAAGAATGGTGATAATATATCAAAGCAGAGCAATTTACAGTACCGTACTGTATAAACTATATACTGTATGTATTTATGTATGTAAAATATTTTATAATTTTGCTGTGTCGCCATCGTAAGATCGAAATATCGTAAGTCAAAGACTACCTGTATACGTAAGGGATTTAACACCACGACGTGCGCTCGTGTGTTAGATGAGCTACTTGAAGAGAGTTATAGGTGTGCAAGGTGTGTAACAACACGTGTGTAACAACACGTGTGTGTCTTGTGTGTGTGTGGTGTACGGCATTACAACCACGACCCGTTCATTCCACTGCTGGATGAGTGCCTTGTTCACAACCTTGAAGGTCACGTCGAGACCATAACTTAAGCGCGCTGGGCGGAGGTGCTTTTATAAATAATCGTGAGTTTGTTGGGTTGTTATGAGTAACTGTAAGCTCGGAGTGCGGGTGTAGTGTGTGGGAGTGTAGTGTGTGGGAGTCTAGTCAGGGTGTGTAGTGTGTAAGAGTGTAGTAAGAGGGTGTAGTGTGTGAGAGTGTGTAGTATGATGGGAGTGTAGTGTGTATGAGTGTGTAGTATAGTGTGTAAGAGTGTGTGTAGTATGTAGTGTGTATGAGTGTGTAGTATAGTGTGTAAGAGTGTGTGTAGTATGTAAGAGTGTGTGTAGTATGTAGTGTAGTATGTAGTGTGTATAAGAGTGTAAGTGTGTAGTTATGATGAGTGTGTAGTATGGAGTGTAGTGTGTAAGAGTGTAAGTGTGTATAAGAATGTAGTGTAGTTATGATGAGTATGTAATGTAGTGTGTAGTAGTTATGATGTGTGTAGTGTAGTGTGTAAGAGTGTGTAGTATGTAGTGTGCATAAGTGTGTAGTAGTTGTGATGAGTGCGTGTAGTATGTAGTTTAGTGTATAAGAGTGTAGTAGTAATGATGAGTGTGTAGTTTAGTATGTAGTG